GGGCATCTTGTCCAAAGTCCTCTGCTATAGTAGTCATCGTAATTCCCAACGTTGGACCGTGGACTTGGTAAATTCCTGGACGGTTCGCCGGCATCGTCAGTGAGTCTTGCAATCCTCAGCACCATTAATGGTCTTCTTTGTCTTCCATACAATTTAAAGGAGACTGCGACCAAAATAGTGACCACAACATTTTGGTCTTCATATCTACGCTTAAGATAATAATTTATTGATAATTTTATTATCCTTTTACCGCTTATTTATATCTTATAGGCTTGTTAATTGAAATTTGAGTTGTGTTTTCCTTATTCCGTTTGAGGCGATGAAAGGCTGGTAGTTAATTTCTCCCACAATGATATGAGTAGAGTTGACGTTTCCAGTGAATTTCACATAGCCTTGCTTTCCCAAAAGGTGTTCTCATCCCGCCTGAAGTGGACTGCACCTCCCACCTCGCATAGGTTTTATCAACACTCACAGCGGGAGTCGAGCGTGCAAGCTCGACACGTTGACCACTACGCCGCATTGCCACGAGTGCTCTTGGGTCGCAGGGCAGATGTGAATTTCAAGGAATGTCAGCCATTGCCCATATCACATTCTGTATTGGGATGCTATAGCAATCGACGACATTACACATTTACGAAAAAAACTTATCAATTGAAACTCTAAATAGACCAAATTGAAATGTATTTGCGGACTTTAATATGTTTTCGCCTCATAAATTACGTCTATTTGACCTATAATTTACTCGAAGCCTTCGCAAGGACGAGTTCCATTAGTGACGATACCTGCCAACTGACATGACGGATGAAACGAGGGAGGATGTCTCGTGGACTGCGTCAACCTGAAGGTTGTATTGAAGCCAAACCATTGCAGAGCAGCGAGACTCAACTGTTGTTTTTTGATGAGATCGACCTACGAATCTCTTCATCATGAAACTTCCTACCAAATTAAAGTCCTCACAATGTTATCCCAATAAAGCTAGTCATTCGTCTCATATACTCGGAGATCTGCATCTTCCCAACTGAGCTTTCTCAAAATCTGGAAGTCATTTTATTATTTAGATGTGTGAAGAAATGTTAGACAGATCTTGCCTTAAGAGTGGGAGGAGGTTGAAAGCAAGAAAAAGAATGAGAGTGGAAGAGGACACGTGTTTCATGCTGGGAAAAGTGGCCATTTGCCGCATTACGGCCTGGCGGCGGCTGGACCAAGTGAGATGTTGTACTGTTGTGACTTGTGAAGAGTGGATAGGCATGATTTCTTGCGGTGGAAGACAAAACAGTGGTCTTCTTGGCTGCTTTCAAAGTCTGTTGCATCCTGCCTGCCTCGCCGGTGGGGAGAAAAGCAAAAGCAAGTCTGCAAAAAGCGCATTTCAATGAAGAGGTCGGTAGCCAGTGGTGCATTATTAACGAGTCCTGGAGTCCTCGCGATTTATTGAGTGCTTCCAAGAGCCCTCCAAACCAGAAAAACTGAAGCACTCCCAGATCGTGTGGCTGACTCGTTCCCAGACTCACCCTTAGCTCAAGCAGAGGGAGAGAAAGAGATAGAGGGAGAAAAAGATGTTGGCGCCTTGCAGGTCTCTGCTTTAGGGGGTAAAAGCGACTGATGCATGTGCAGATGAGCATGCAACTGTACAGTTGGGCATACGATTATCCGATTTGACTTATTTGCGCCAGCATTGAGACCAAACAGAGCGGAGGATGACTTACTTTTATCCTCCTCTCGCTGCCCAAGGCGGTGCTGGAAAAGCTTTAACCGGAGTCGTAAAGTGTACCTTTGGCAATCAAGAGCCTTATTTTGGCTGAATGAAAGGGAAAATGAAAGCCTTCAGGCTTGCCAGAGAACTAGAGTTATACTCGTTGGGCAGCCTCGAGCAGTTAGTGTCGCAGAATCGTGAATGTGTTGGTCGCGTTAAAAAGACTTTCTGATGAAGCGATGACGTCTGAAAATCGCAACTTTGCTGCATTTAAACACCGTCCACCTTCGTCGGGGGGGCTGTTAGAGGCAAATGTTTGTCGGATCATTGGTCAAATTGCTTGCTACAACACAACTCGCTTCTTCTCCCCTCCACAGGGTTCAAGGAATCCAGCCTTGGCCGATCTCAACGGTCCATGTCTTCTTACTTCCTGGGCAAAATTAAAGAAATTATCGCCTTGTCAACGGTTGGAGTTGTCAACTAATTATCGATCCGGGAACCAGATAACTATGCCGCCAACATGCTGTCTCCAGTTGCGCATGACTTGCCGGGTTAACTTGCTTGTATTATTGGCCTTAAAAAGCATTTCCTTGTCTCGATGGATCATTATGCCCGATTGGCGTAACGACAAAAACTGATAAAA